TGTAGAAAAGAGATCAGGCCGCTGCTGTTATGTCTGAGAGGCATCAAGGGAGTTGTCTCGCCGCTAGGAGGAGCCCCTGAGTAAACGAAAGTAGAACTTTGAACCAGATCAATTTGATTTCCACCATGGGTCTGCCATACTTGCTGTAAAATGACTACCCACTCTAGTCTGTTTTCTTATTTGTGAAATGGGGATAATAAATACCATTTAAACATTCTTGTTGAAAGAATTAAAGACTAATAGAGGCATATTTTTTTAATTTATTTTTTTAACAGAGGCATATTTTAATGCTGATTTTCAATCCATAGTTTCAGTGCCCCACACCATACCAGACACATATTAGACATTCAATATATTGTTAAATGAATGACATCATACTTGCCCCAGTCATCCTTTTTTAATAAATAAACAGATATATTTTGTAGCCTTTTTTTTTTAACAGAAAAGGAACTTATTTCTGATACCTACCATCCCAGAAACAGGTCACAACATTATTATGTGGGCCTTTTAGATGGATTCAGATGTCCCAAAAAAGAATCGATAGCAAGATTTTTCTCACATTGTATAATATTTTCAGTCCTCTGAATACTACTTTTTAAAGTTCTTTGAGTTCTGGAATGCTTAAGAAAATGCTGAGCAATTTACACAAGATGGAAATTTAACTGCATTTGAGGACTGAGTTCTATATAAAATAAAAATGTACTTTCTCTAACTGTCCTAAATAATAACAGCATTGAAAGGAGCTACAAACATTAATTTCTAAAGGATATGGCAGGGACTGGTGGCTAAATTATTACTTCTAATCCATAACTGTATTTCTAAGCATTTTCTATAAATATGAACTTGTAGTGGCATAAAAAAAAAACTGCATTTGAAGTCAATCTCCAAAAAATGCCTTTTAATTTTTATAGTGTTTGAGAAGAATACAAAATTGGAAGAATTATATATTTTTTCTTATTATTACTATGAAAGCTTCATTGAAAGAAAGTATGACTAGAGATTAGCTGAGAGCCTGAGCCAAAAGAAGGAAGGAAGAAGGAATTAAGTGGTATTTATAAGAGTTTGCTTTTTTGTATTAGTTGGATGGATTGTTTGGGAAAAGACCAGAAAGTAAAAAAGTACAATGACAGAGTGTATTCGATTTTTTTCTTGTTGAGTTTATTATAGTCACTCATATTGAACTGCTGATTTCAATTAGGGATGATTAGCCTGTGAAAACATGTGTACTGCTGGTATTTAGAGCATTTCAAAAATGATTCAGTGAATCACTAGATTACATGAACAGGATATGGATTCTGTAGAAATGCTATTTGATGTCTATCTACGTATGTTTTAGTTTAGCCGTTATATATGTTTTAGTTTAACCACTGAGATGCAAACCTTAGATCGGATATGGTAGCTTTCTTAGAATAACAAACCACAGCATATAACTAAGTTAGGACAGGATGAATTCAAAAGTGTTTGGATGAGCTGGGGAAAATGATAAATGATGTATTATGATATTTAAATCCCCATCTGGCCAACTTTGCACTTTATTTCAAACAGCTGTAGACCATTTGGAAGCCATTTTGTAGCTCAACTGAGTACTAATATTTACTGTATGAATCACATATCTTTAAAATATTTGTCTTTCCCTGAGAGAGAGACCATTTCTTTCCCAAACTTAACTTTGATATAAATCAGATCCATCCTCCTAGGTTAGAAGGTTTGATCACTGCCGTGGGTTGTTCATTGCCAAAGGCAGTCAGCACCATCGTTGGTTTCTTTACTAGTAAGTAGACTTTCTCCCTCCGTGAACAGAGGCTTTGAAACATTTTTGTTGTTAATCCTCACCTGGGGATATTTTTTTCTATTGATTTTTAGAGAGAGTGGAAGGGAGGGGGAGAGACACAGAGAGAGAAACATTGATGTGAGAGACGTACATCAATTGATTGCCTCCTGCACATGCCCCTACCGGCAGCAGGATTGAGCCTGGAACCAAGGTCCATGCCCTTGACAAGGATCAAACCCATGACCCTTCCGTCCATGGGCCAGCACTCTAAATACTGAGCCAAGATGGCTAGGGTGCTTTGAAACATTTTTGAGAAGTTTTTTAGGGATGATTTTTAAATAGGTTCTAAAGTAAAAATTTCCCCACTTCACCTATATGTTGAATATGCACATATCTTTATCATTCTCTCATACATTTGAGGTCTTTCTTCAGATATTTCCAACAAATATGGAATTGAAAAAGCATTCTCATAAAATGTTAGGAAGACATACAGTATAATATTGGAACTATTAGATAGTTCTCAAAGGGGGAGGTCCAAACTCCTGTTGAGGAAACTTGACTCAGATTTTAATTCCAATCGGGGCTGCTCTCCTTTAAACTCAATGATGGAAATATACCTCCTGATATCACTGCCCTTTGAATCCTCCCTGTGAATATCTGCAGTTATTCAGGAAAGAATGGATCCATCAATCCACGCAACATGAAGTGATGAGTTTTCTCTTTAGTAAAGTGGTATTTAGGCACTTGTGTGATGATTCAACATAGCCAATCATCAATAGCCAATAGGGAGCCATTTGTAGAAAACAGGGCACTCTGAATGCTAGTCAGGCATCTCGTAACAACATCGATCTCCAAGTGAAACCAGGGGTTACATATTCAGCCTGAAATACATTGCTAGCCACCTTTCTCCTATGGTTGTTACTCAACAAATTTCAGGAAAGTTAACACTTTGTGAGGTATTGGGGTAGCACCTTAGTCACACTGTTGCTGTTTCAGTAGAAACCGAATGTAAGAACAAGGATAGATGCTACGATCAGGCCATCTGGCCACCTGTCTTAATCTGCTGCTACTAAGAAAATGATGCTTTTGGCAACGCTGTGGGTGTGTTCTCTTTGCCTTTGGAAGTTAAGCCAACCCCAGTTAGCTGCCTGGGGGTCAGATGGAGTAGCATATTAATAAAAACATAAGTGCTTCAAGCATACAAATGCATTACTACCATCAACAATATACAGTATTTACTAAATATTTGCTTTAAAGTCCTAAATAGGATGTCTATGTGTGTGGGAGAGAAATCCTCTAGAAATATTTTAAGGTATTAAACGTAAATGTAAACATTGTCAGCTTAAGCTCGTTAATTATAAATTACGTCTCGAAGAAGATGGTTGAAGAAAAGACTGAAAACAGCAATCTGTCTCTCAAGGTGAAAACAAATCAATAAAAAGCAGAGAGCTTTGGGTTTCTGATTGTGGCTGAAACGAGGCATGTCATATACATGGGTGGGTCGTATTATTCAAAGGCATTTGCTGTACCCTAGTGTTATTTGTTTACACGTGCAAACTTCCAAAAAAGAATCTGAATCTGACTTCCAATAATTAGCTCACTAAGTTTGGAATACTCTTGTTCTTAAGCCAAAGAATTTATTGGTTTATTTATTTTAAAAAAAAAATAAACAACTTTTAAGTCTCTTAAGTTTCATATTTAGTAAGGATGACACAATGATTATATGATAATATTGTATGAATTCTTAATTGTCCTATTAAATTGCCTTTCATTATATCACAATGCCAAGAATAAAAGTCTAGGCTGCAGACCTCCCTAAAAGAAGAGCACATTTATTTCATAGGGACCTTTATAATTCTGTTCACAAGGTCAGTCAATTGTTTACCTTAAGTAAAATGTTCTGCTTTAATTAAAATATTCATGAGTAAATAATATTTCCCTCGATCTTGAATTTCACAGTTGGGGACTAGGCTCCGCATACCCTCTTCGGCATTAAACACCATAAATTGACCTCTGCTGCCAACTTTGGCAGATATTTGGTCTGACTAATTCCAAAGCCACTTTTAAGTCCTTAATCTGTGTCTGTTTTTGAGTTCAGCATTAAAAATATTAGCCAAACCTCCTTCCCTGCTGTAAAATTCAAGATGTGGGAAATTTAAAATAGTTGTTGATAAAAATACACTTCTGTTTACACAGTCAATGATGAAAAAGAGTTTGCTCTTTAAGGCTGATTTCAAAAGATGGTTAAAAAATGATTCCAAAGGCTTGAAAGAATTGACATAATAGTAGCAGACAACCATGTGTGTTCACTTTGCTAATCTTTCATTTTCGACTCTAATGACTCCTTCCCGTTTAACTTAGCGAGGTGACCTTTAGCATAGCAGCAAGTCTTTTTTCAGTACTTTTGCTCAATTTAAGAGGATTTTACTTTTATTTTCAAGATGATACCCCTCTGAGAAATGAAAACTTTTGCAAACTGAAATTCATTTCTGAACATCTTTACCTCTTCACCATGAGGAGTCCACAGATCCATGTCATCAGTGTTTTCATTGGAAAGGACGTGACCAGAGCAGGCTGCAGGGCAGGGCATGCACGCAGTACTCGGCCACTCAGGGTTCCATTCCACCCCCAGATGTGTCTGTGACCTCCATCGCCAATTCCTGAGGCTTTGAAATAGAACCTTAAGGCTCAAAATTTTTAAATAGTGATGAGCCTGCCAGCTCCAATACCTTTGATTTACTTATTGGACATCATTGGTCATCGCTAAACTCTGTCCTTGTTTTTATATTGAGCATGGAATGTATATATCAGGATTAGAATGCACTGTAGGATTATCTGCTCATCTATAAATGTGAATGGCTTCTTTACTCGTGTGTGGTTTCCCCGGAAACCTTCATCAATCGTATCTTTCTGAGCCAACTACCTCTACTCTCAAAGTAAACCAGATAAATCCTTTCATATGCTTTATGTAAAATGGAAAATTTTATTGTTGTTAATCTTCTTCTTATCTAGCCTATTGTCATGCTTCTTAAAAATCTGTTTCAGGAACAGAACACAGTCTTTGAATACATATATATGGTATATAATATAATATTAATATGATATAATTGTGTTTTTCTGTGTGTGTGAGTGTGCATGTGTGTGCATGCAATTATCATTCTGCATTGTACATCTCTGGGAACAAAAGCAGATGCACTTTCTAATTTAAGACTCTTTGTTGTTGTTACAGGTCTATAAAAAGAAAACCGAGGCTGCAAAGAAAGAGTACCTGAAGCAACTAGCAGCATACAGAGCCAGCCTTGTATCCAAGGTAACGTGCTATTGTGTGGTATTGTGTCGGATTGTGGCCATCTTATTGCAGACTGTGATGGTCATTTAAAGCCGTAAAAGATCACGTTAGCATTTCTGCACAATCTTCTTTGTTGGGGAAAAAAAGTAAATCCTAAACAAAGCAGTATAGCTGTATGTTATGGAAATAGGTGTTGACACCTAAAAGACCGGAGCAGTATCCTCTGAGCCTTCTATGAAATATTGTCCACCTGTGGATTATTGGTTTTGTGGATTAGTCACAGAGCATCCTTAATCCTGAGCCAATTTTCTATTTCTCTGCATCCTGCTCTTAAATTGCCTCCCGCTTCGTACTCCGTCCATTGACCTTTGCTGAGGAGATACCAACTGTTGAAATTTAGCCTCATTACAGCATCATTAGGATGTAAGCTGGCCTCCCCAGTCCTTGTTCCCCCCCCAAAAATGTTTGCATTATTTTATTTGAAACTGAAATATGCCACTTAAAAATATTTTATGCTTTAAAATATCTTATACACTAGTCCTTTCTGTTATAAATACTCAGGTTATTAAAGATGTATTTCCCTTTATAGATTTCTCAGGGAGGCAACCTCAGTGAGATGGGGCTGTATTTATAGGTGCTTGGTGTTATGTCATCTCAAGCCTAAATCTGTCTTGTTATTTGGTTCAGTGTGCCTTGGGGCTCTGGAATTCATTTTATTCACCCATGAAGAATACTTTTTCTGTTATCCACAAATAGCCATCGTCCTTCTAACAACTCCAAAGTAATTATATAAATTCATTTTTTATAGGGGAAAATATATCTGAATATACTGATGCAGAACAGAAAAGAGAGCAGAAATACATGTAGATAAAAATTTCAGTGTGCCAGTGGCCTAATACAACTTTATATTCCACTTCTAAGCCATGACATTGTGGAAAAACATGCTATTTATTACTTAACCTAAAAATTTCTAGCTCTCCTGTACTCTCTCACCAAAGAACTAACTCTTCCTAATTTATCTAACTCCTTTTGAAGCTATTTATATTTTCTGCTGATACTATCTCACATTTCTGTATATTTATAGAAGTCACAGAATGTGTATAAAATCATAGCAAAAAAATAAGATATAAATTATTAGAGCCATCCAGCCATTGGGTTAATTAGTCACACTGATACTATTCAAACTAATATGCCCAAAATGTAGGGGACTTTAAAAAAGTGGAATAAGATTTCATCCAAGATGAAATTTTCTTTTTGAGCATTTTATTTTTTTATTTTTTATTAAACATTGGGGCTTTAATCCTCTTCAATAGACTTAAAAACTAAACATTCACATTTAAAATTTTTGAGCATTTTAAATAGAGAGTTAGTCAGAGCATTTTACATCCAAGAAAATCAATCCATAATGCCTCAAGCCCCATACAAAACCCTCTGGTTAATGCTATGTGGATTGCCAGAATGCTGTGATACTAACTAAGCCTTTGCTTTCAAAACAAGTGCCCTCAGATTTACTCCTAGCTGCAACTTTCCTTACTATTCACTCTCAGAGTTGCAAGCCTCCATCTACGGCAATGTGTATAAATGCTGCGAATCGCCACATCTACATTTAAAAAACCAAGCATATTTTTTACAGCTTACTCTGACGTTTTTCTTCGCTTT